TTATAAATAAAACTCATTTTTAAAACTAACTCAATATTGATTTCAGCAATACGAATATTAGCTACATAAACATCAGCATCACTCAGAACCTGGCTTCAATGAACGTCTGTAATCTAAAAAACGTGAGCGAGTTTACTTTGTATCCAGGAAATGAAAGCAACTAGAATTTATTTTCACAGAAACAAAGCATTCATCAAACTAATTATTAATCCCGAATCATCACTGTCGGATTTGGGCATTACATTGGGAAGAGGAGAAACAAAATGTCTGAAAAAAAACTAAATTGTCTCTTGAGGCAACTTCGCGAGTAAAAAAAATACAACTTGATTCTTAGTGAACATTTAATAACTCTGCCTAAAAGAGAAAATCAGTGCCTTCTTTTGTATGAAAATTAATAATAACTTATAACATTTAATAATGATGACCAGCATACACGGCTGAGCTAAACATTTTTTATGGACGAAGCCCATCCGCAAATGGAGTGATGCTTTCTACCGCGGCTCCGAAATATTCCCGCGAAATATTTTGCGCCAGTCAGTGGTCCGCAAAAACCTTTTGCGTTTTAGGGCCAGAGAATTACCAGAGCAGCGGCTGCTCTCAATCTTACGTCGAAATCATCGGGAATCAATGAAGCCTTCGCAGGCATCGCTGCTGTGGAGCGCCACGCAAACATGCTGCCATTTGTAGCTGACGCGCAAGCATAACTTCTGTTTAGAAAAAAATGCATGAATTTCTTAGAAGGAGAATGAATAGTAATGCTAGAATGAGAATGAATAGTAATGCTAGAATGTGAATGAATCCTAATGCTTAGAATGTGAATGATTCATAATGCTAGATTGTGAATGATTCATAATGCTAGATTGTGAATGATTCAGGATGCTAGATTGTGAATGATTCATAATGCTTAGAATGTGAATGATTCTTAATGCTAGAATGAGAATGAATCCTAATGCTAGAATGTGAATGATTTGCAATGCTAGAATGTGAATGATTCGTAATGCTAGAATGTGAATGATTCATAATGCTTAGAATATGAATGATTTATAATGCTTAGAATGCGAATGATTCATGATGTTAGAATGATTGAACAAAGGACATCGAGGATGTGCAATATTATTTTTTTGTGTATTTTTATCCATTGACATACAAGATAGTATTTACTTTGTTTTACTGAGACTGTCCTGAAAAGCGAGTGGCTGTACAGTTTAAAAATGCCTTTGAGAATGTATTATTCTCTTCTATTCATTGACATACAGGGAAGTATTTCGTTCTGTTATGCAAAAACTGGCTTGAAATTTGAATGCCTGACTGTGAATAACGAAACTATTTATCCATAGACAAGAGAGTACTTCGATCCTTCTGTTATACAAAGACTAGCATAGAAAGTGAATGACTGAACAACGGTAGAAAAGCTGCCAAAGGCCGCTTTCTTCCTTTTTCTTTATCGCTACGATTAAATTCGAGGAAGAAACAATCCAAAGATCAAATAGAGCTTTTGAAATGTTAAAAGCAAACAGCCTAAAACTCCGAGCTCTAATTAGATTGTTTTCGTTCCTCAAACGAAAATTATTATGCAAAGATTTGAATAGAGTGTGGATGTCTGGGCAAATACAATCGAGGAGTTGTTTTGTTATCAAGTGTTTTATCCATTATCGTTAAAGGTAGTATTTCCAAAACGGCTATGTCTGTACTTGTTTTTATGCCGATAAACAAGGAATGATATAGATAGAAGACAAGATGAAGGCATTTGCATTGAATATGAAGACGAAGGATGAATGTTGATGTATGTTGTTTAGCTCCTCAGCTACATACTAGCGTATGTAAAAGCCTGCTGATAACAAATTACAGTCAGCGTCCAAAAAGTTAGGTTTGAATTTAGAAAAAAATATTTCACGTACTGCACTTCCGAAGATGATGAAATCTGCTAATACGAATAAAAAAAATAGGATGTTTATACTCATTTGCTCGCTAACCATTTTTAATCACGTAACAACAATTTTATCGAAGTGGTTTTCTACTTTAATTTTAAATAAAAAAAATGGCGGATGTTAAGCTGCAACACATAGGTCATGTGTTAATACTTGCTTTCAAGAGTTATACATAATTAAAGGAAACTTACATGCATTTTTTCTAAGTTGTGCATACATTGAAATATTCAACATGGAAGTTGGTTCTTACTATACGAGCTCGCAGGTGCGTGAGGAATAGTTAAAAAGTTTATCCCACACTAATAAACCAGCAAAATTATTCGGTTATTTTTTCTAGCATAATAATTAATAACCAAAGCATTTGGTTAAGTATTTTATTGGCTCAATCCTCGATTAAAGTAGTTGAATATACCTCAAATCGAGCAAGTAGCTCACCAAATGAACTAAATTCCTGTAAAATCGTCTATAAAGTTTTGGTTGTGAACGTAGCATTAAACATATCGTTGAACATACGACATGCACATGCAGTCAATCAGCCAAAGAGCTTTAGCCTTCATCGAGAATTTGATCAAAGCAAAGCTCAGAGGCAAAGCTTATGATGAATAATTGAACGATGATGAGCAATAAATACAGGAATATAAAATATCTTTGCCAGGCGTCTGGTTATAAAACATTATTGTGAGCTTCCTTTGGAAATGGATGCACTAATAACAGACGCTTCGAGAAGATTGAAATTAATAAATGCAGGAATATCAATAGATAATAATCAACTTACGAATTGCTGTGATAAATTATAAATACAAGTACTATAAATTACGAAAAAACGGAATGAAATATTTTATATAATAATTCAGGAAGAAGTGACGCATGGTTATGCAGCGTGCATATTTCATAAGATAAAGTATCTAAACGTTTTCAATGGCTCTTCAGTCATTTTGTGTTCAAAATCCGAAAAATTATTGTTTGAACGTGATATAGGGAATTTTTCAGATATTCCTCACAAATATTATCAATGTTCCACTGAAAATGTTCATGAATTTTATCCTATGGATAGATACCCGCTGAGCAATCATGCAAATGACTTTCCTGAATTTTTACAATTCGCAATTTTTCGTTACAATTCAATTTTTTCGTTACAATTCAATTTTTTCGTTGAATTGCGTGATTATTGAGCGATTAAATAACCAGGATCGTTACTGATTCTTTTTATCGGACGCTTGAATTTCACTCTCTTCTGAAATTTAAGTCATGAAAATTTTAGTTTTTTATAATTAACCTCAAATTTTTTGTGCGATTTGCTTATAAAATACACATTATTTTTTTAGAATCGTGTCTCTTTCTAAACATAAAGCCCTGAACTAACGAACATTATTATTATTCTACGGAGCAGTCATCGTGGCGACAGGTTCAAACGAACTTCGAGGACACGTCACACATAAGTTTTAACAGCAAGCGAGACATAAGTAAACACGAGAAAGGACGAAAACGGATAAAAATGACTGAGCACTAGATTCATAGGCTCTACGAAACAGTTCCGTCTTTAGGCGTCGACGGAACACCTACAACGAAGAAGCCGATGTTACCGAAGCAGACTGTTTAAGCAGACTGTTCCAGTTTCTGGCGGCGGCGACCAAGAACTCTCTACATATATCGCCGACGATAGATAGACGTGTAGATAGAACGACGAGGTCCGCTGTTGATGACGAACGAAGTCGTCCTCAAGAAGGCAGTTCCGACAAGCGCTGCAGACATTCCCTGAGATAAGGCGGCGTCAGTCCGTTAAGGCATCGGAACATCAGAACAGCGACCTTGAAATGAGTGCACTGCTGCATGCGCAACCAGTGAAGATCGCGCAATATCGTCGTTCTGTCTAATTTTCGCTTATATTACAAGAGTCACGCAGCAGCGTTCATTACGGATTGCATTTTAAATAATGTTGTGGTCGATAGTCAGACGAATATGGCATTACCATAGTCCAATCGAGTCGGAACGAGCGCCACCACGGCGCCTTCAAGGACCGGCCCCGAGAGCCAGCGGCTGAGTATTCGCCGCAACGTGCCAAACCTAACGGTGATGACTTTGGCTATGTGATGGTTCATAGAAATTTCCGAATCCAGAATGCCGAGGTTGCAAACTGAAGACGCAGGCAAGACGAACTCGTTGCTCTCGCGAACAGGGTTGGCCGGAAGCTGATGCTGGCACCCAGCATTCGCAAACCAAATAAAGACGGTTTTTGATGCATTGATCAAGTTGGAGCGCATCCAATCTGAGACGGCACTCATGCAGACAGACATCCGGTTTTGCAATGCTGCAGCGTCAGTCGGTGCACAGTAGCCATGCATTATTTGGGTGTCGTCGGCGAACTTATGCGGATTCAAACTATGTGAATCAATACGTCGACGGTAAATAACAGGAATATGATTTGGCCGAGAACTGATCCCTGTGGTACGCCGCAAGTGAGGAACGATGACATGGAAGAAGAATAACCTCGTCGAACGCATTTGAATCTATTGCTGAGATGGGAACATGTGAGCAGCAGCCAATGTTTCATTTCAATGACAAGGTTTGAGCATTCAAAACTAGTGCAGGATTGAAATAAGAAGAGAAGTAAATAATTGCTTTTATTTCCGGAGAAATTAAACCAAAGGGCGTAAATTATTTTAGATAAGAAGAATTCTAGATGAGGTAGATAATTCCATAAGTTTTAATTTTAATGCGCTCTATTTCGAATTCACGACACCATCAAAATAAACTAGACTTATTATGAAGAACTTTATGATATTTCAGCATTACATAATTTTTCTTCTTGTCTTGTTCAATATATGAAATATTAAATTGAAATTAAAATAAAATTATGAACTACGAAAATCGGTGGGTGAACTGGATAAGAACCTATTCAGAACTACAATAAATAAGTAAGTTTGTAAATTAAATAATATACAGCATATTACCTACCCACGTAGTTCAGATTTATACATAACTATTTCTCTTGAATAGCTCAATAAAAATTGTACATGTTTACGAAAATGCTTATTTAAGATTCATCCAGAAGTACTACTATTTTTTCTCTTGCGGAAATTTCCACACAAAACTTACAAAGCAAACATTTGGTCGCGCATCATTCTTTTGGTTCAAATTCAAATCCAAACCTTAACAAATTCTCGATTTTTATGACGCCAAATGATCATTGATAAACGCCTTAAATTTCGATGGCGAAACTAAATCAATGCATATGTCTCTACTGCAAAATATCATGCAATTTTATTACGAATAGAATGGTAGCACTGAAATGTCTTATCTCTCTTGGACTGGAAAATTTGCAGAACATAATGTCAGATATGCACAATACGGCATACTACTCCACCTCTAGAAAGCTATCGGTGGCATTCAAAATCCACTTAAATGCTCTTAAAATCCATGGAAGGGATCAGAGTATACATGATTGTCGCATGGATTCGTGCCGTAGCTACTGGTATCCACAGAGTAATTGTTTAAATAGTTTTTTGAACCTATGAACTAGAATCTTAAATTCTAAAATCTCCTAAATCTTCCAGGCCCTCGGAATCCACCTCTAAATCCCCCTCGACCACCCCGAAATCCACGTGGTGGTCCTCGAAATCCACCCGAGAAGCCGTTAAACCCACGGCCGCCTCCGTTGCAGTTCGAGACCACGCAGCCGATGAGCGCCGCGTTGCTGATGACCAGCCCGCCCAGCAGAAGCTCTGGTGTGAAGGGTCTGGCTTGTAGCATCGTGGCGAGACAGGCTAGCGTCGCTAGCAGCAGGGTCATCTGAGGCAAGAACATATATATTTATTCATTATTATTATAACTATTACTGATATAATAGTTATTATATATTATAATATAAATAAATAACTATAATATTATAATAGCTATTTATTATTATAACTAATGGTAATATAGATATAGTTCAGTAATTTATTGCAAGGTTTACTATATCACAGTAAAATATTCATGAGCAGAGCGTTGGCTTTTGTGTAATAATAATTTCACGCGTGAATTACATCGCCCAGAACAGGCTAAAGCAGATTTCTGAAAATCCCAGACGGCAGTAAACAATTGAGATAAGTTGACGTTGTGGATTTATTTTCATGTTCCAGGTTTTCCTAGTTTGGATTGGAAGATATTAAAAGCGCAAAACCTAGTGTAATTCTCTTTTCGTTGATCTTTTGTACGTTTATTTCAGGAAAGTGGGAAAAAATAGCATCTTGACTTTATTCCATCTACGATGTCTCTCTGCTATTTAAGCATATGCAGAAAATCAGACCTGACTGAAATATCCAGCATGAGCAAATGAGGTTGATAATCTTAATTAATAAAATCTTAATTTTTTCCCCTACTTTAAAGAATACGAATAAAAGATTATAAGTAATAGTCCAGTGACATTTCCTTTTTAGTTTTCTCAATAAGACGACAGCCGGATGCGGGGTAAGCAAATAAATGCCTCAAGACCGTAGCAATTATGTTTGACTTTAGAAGACTCTTTGTCTCTAAACAAAAAAAATCTGTACTGTTACTATTTACACGTGTAAATAAATAACTTGGACGAACATTTATCCGTGAAAAGACGGGTACGAGAAATTTGTTTTAATTGCAGAGAGATTTGAACATACTGCACTTTTCGTCAACCCTTTGATGTTGAACGAGTCCATCAGGTGTTGAACAATTTTTCACTATAACTGTCAATAATCCTAGACGTGAGTCTTGCTGATGAATGACTGGAAGAAATTAAAAAATGCGGAAAACCTAATTGTCAGAAGATCCATCTCATTAATTTTCGAATTCCCATCAAAAAACTATTTATTTTTTATACTAAACTGACGACCATCTAACCCCACAGAGCATTAATAATTAACTCTGATAGAGCTGAGCATTAATGAAAATGAAGTCGTCTTGAATAGTTCAAATTACATTATTTTTCTCAACCGCTCAATATCTTTCGTTCCGTTTGAAGACTGATTGTAAAGATAAAACATTCGAGCAAAAATTTGCAAAAACATATATGCATTTTTTGTGAATAATCGTCGCGCATACCGTAATATATCTGTGTTAATTTTTATACAATTTCGTTCGATTTGTAAGTCAACTCGTTTCCTTAAATCGTAGATCACATATTCGACTTAAATGCAAGTAGTACTGTAGCACAAATCTCTAGCATTTCGTTCAAATAAGTAGCGCATTATTTAAAAAACCCTCAATCAATGTAGAATCTCTCACTTCAGCTTAATAAAACTCTTCAAAACTTATATTGTCTCAAATGAAATTCTAATTAAAAAATTATCAACTACAGCTGATGTTGATTACCCTAATACACTAATTCCTGGACACTGGATAGAAAGCTTTCACTATTTTTTGAAAGAAGAGCGACACTCACCGACTTCATCCCAGCAGTTCACTTAGAAAGACCTACACGAAGGAGAGAATACAACGGTCTAAGCCTGGGGTCTGGTGGGTACAATTCTTATAGGCACCTTCATGTTGCCGAGGTAATCACCCTTTACAGGCCCACTACTTCCTTGTGCTGAGGTTCCGGAGTGTACGCATACTTGAAAATCTTTCCAGAAGAATTACCTTCCCTACGATGTATTTTAATGAACATATTTCTAATATCCATCGTTGTAGGTGAGATGCTTGTTAAGAGATGATTTGTTTAGAGTTTGTCTTTGTATTCCTTTAATCCGATTGCAGTTATGCAAATCTGCGCCAAAAGGTACACGTTTATTCCACCCTTGCACGCCATGCCATGCAGCAAAAAACTCGCTCCACGGAGGTCACTTTTACGCACTAGGTGTGAAATATAAATATATAACTAATTTCATTCGTTTATTGACGGTGTCAATAAGTAGAAAAGTAGGAAGTAGTATTCTGGGTAGAATATTTTATTCGAAAATCAGTTCGCCATTCACATTGAAATAAATGCTATGGAGTTTTCGAGCAGGAAGGTTCTAAAATAATTTCATTTCTTATATATCTTGATTCAGTTTTGGGCTAAAAAATTCCTGTAATATAAAAATTTGTCAGCACATGAAAGTCAATGTAAATTTTATTTTCTGTCGCTCAACGTGCTGTATCTACGCGGACATTATTTGAGTTTTGAATTAAATATTTTTCCTAATCAAGTCTAATCCACTAATATTTGGTAAGAGAAGTATGAAGGCCACCAAACTATTTCGGATTCCCATAATCATGTTGCAATGGACTTCAAAACATGCAGGTAAGAATAGCATTGTTATTATGGAAGCACTGTTATATGACGCGCCGTAGACCGGAACGAGACTGAGCTCCGTTGAATGAACGTCTAATCGGCGATTGCATCTCATGCATAGGTCAGGGGCCCGTCGTCTCATCTACCTGCACACTGCGATAGCGCTGCAAAAAACGTTTGAAATTAAATAATTTTCTGTAATTTGTGGTGCTTTGTTCGTATATTTTACTCATATTGACAGAATATCACGAGTTTGAAGGAATACAGATAATGGTCCCACCTGCAAATTAACATAGAATTGTAACATGACTCATTCTTTAGTTTAATTAGAATTATTTTGGGAGATTTTGAGGACACATATTCAATTTTGTTTATATTTATTTGCCAATGTAATAGTAATAGGTTGCTCATGGCTTAGCAGCGATGACTATAAACATTTTAAGTTTTGTAATCCATCAGTAACATAGTTTAGTTGCTTATTTTTTTTACTCATTCCATTTTTTCAATGGTTTTTAATATTTTCATGTTTATCGCTTTTTTCTTGGTTACTAGAGTACTTCATACCTGTTTTATTCTAAGTTATTAAGATTTTAGTTGGATGTTCTTTATCATATTTTGCGTTTTTGTTGCCAGTAATTGCAAACATTTTTATAACATACCGTGTATGCATATTCTAATTCAGGTTTTATTCTGACTTTTCAGCAAATTTCAAAAGCTCTAACGCTGAGAAGAGAAATTAGGCCTTTTAATGTTAAATTTTTCGTTACTGTAAAAAAAAAGTAAATCAAGAACAAACAAAACAAAATGAATGAATAAAAATATGGAACAAGCACAACAAAGTTAATTTCATCATTGGCGCTTGTAAATTCAATTTTGCTTGCATTCAGCTTGCTAATTAAGTTTGTTCAAAATTGCGAATATTTCGCAAACTCAAGAATTACACCTGTTATTTCTCAACCCTTGACCTTGCATCTTCCTAGCTTCCTGACTCAGGCTGTAGAGAGTAAACTGCTGCTCATAATTTTTTTTACGTACCTTAAAATTACATGCCGTTAGTGTAGCCGGCAAAAAAGTATTAAATATAATTCGAGAATCACAAAATATGAACTTTTCCATAGACAAATAATAATGATGCACAAATCATTGTGTTTAATATTATTGTACGAATATTGACTGAAAATTTTATTTTAAGAAGCAATTGCAAATAAATATGTTGACAAATATAACGTGTTTACTATAAATAAGCAGCCAATGTACCGTTGACATGTCAACCCTGGTTAGCATGTGCGTGTCAAAAACCACCTTGTACGACGTGTAAGTTTTTTTTTTCAAGCCTTTCATGAAAGAAGAGATATTTATAGTCATTTCATGGGATTTTTGATATTCGTCTCCATGGCGCCATTTTTTGATTGGATTGTTTTAAATAACGAAATTTTCTAGATCTAGAGTTTCGATGTCTTATAATTATTTATGGAATTCAAAATTCGTTTTTCCACGCATTCGAAATTCAACAAAAAGAGATCAATCAGACGCGTATAAGTTATAGCTTTCCATGATACCAACGACTTCTTGAAATCGTAACAAAGAGACGAGAAATATATTCTAAACAAAATAATGAACGAACGGATCTCATTGCATATGAGCCACGAATTTTTAACGTTGAAATCCACTCACGTCACTCAGTAATGCTACAACGTTATTGCAAGTCTCTTTGATATCTAAATTTCACACACACGATACTTTGACCAAATACCCTACAATCATTGATCAAATACTCACCAGCGATCGTTCAAATACGCTCGAGGAATCGAGCGAACACTCCAAGCGATCGATCAGAAACTCACTAGCAATCTATCCAATACTCAAAAAAGATCGATTTAATATTTGCAAGTGATCGAATAAATACGCTCAAGCGATCGTACCAATACTCTCAATTGGTTGATCAACTACTCATCAACAATCGGCAATATAACAATACAAGCGAATTCGGGGTAACGGATCAACCATAGCTACTTATGATAAACATGTTTTCCTTACCACGTGACCAGCGGAATAAGGTTTATACTAGAATAATGAGGTATAAATGTCCCAATACAATTGTAATGGTAAAATTAGGCAGATTTTAAAAGGTTTATTTTCATTAGTTACGGCATCTATATTCAAATTCCCTGTAGAAAGACTTGAATCTTGACATTACATGTATATCAATAATAGCTAAAAACTGTCCACCGAAATTTCCACGTTTTGCTTCATAATTTTCTCAGACAAATCTACGTAGATGTCATCAATATATGAAAAGGTATACCGTAATGTATCGTTTTAAAATGAATTTATATCATTAAACTCAATTAACTATATTTAAAATTAATTGACGACATAATCGAATTTATGTCCTTCCGCATCAGGAAGCGCAATGCGGAAGGTTGACTCAGTGTGAGCTGGAGTTAAAAATAAATTGCAAGTCGCTGTGAGACTACGTACAAACCATCATTTCGATCAAGATTTATAACTAAATATTTATTCACTAATAACTTAAAATGAAAAGTCCAAATTATCCATATGAGATGGTGCTGCCAAATGGCTTCTATAATAACATATTTCTTACATTTTTGTTAGTTACCCCGACAAAAAGTCACAAGCATGTCGTTTTCTTCGCACTTTTTTGAACAGAAAACTTGGATATGATTTGGATGGAAAACTATAGTAATAAAAGCGGTTTCAGCGTTAGTAAGCCGTAGAATAGAAGTGTCGGCGTTGAAGACATAGGCCCATGGCCTGTTGCCGATTCTTTACATCGCAGAACATTCACAGCTTGTTGCAGTCTCGAACTCGCAGCTCACTGCTTCAGTTTTGCTTTGCTTAACCACCCGGGCCCATACTTTCAAAAAAAGGTAAGAGATCGTAAGTTCATCAGCCAATTATTGACGGCCTTTCAAGCAAAATCCACCAATCATAGACAAGAAAATAGAGCGTAAATACTTACGTTCACTTAGAGAGTTTTGAAAGTATGGCCCCCGGCCTCCTCGCCGATTCTGACTAGAAACTGGCGCGCAGAGCTGGGATCGAACCCGCGCCTCTCTGCTCCAATTCTGGTACTCTGGGGCCATACTTTCAAAATTCGCTAAGTGAACGTAAGTACTTAAGCTCTATTTTCTTGTCTATCATTGGTGGATGTTGATTGAAAGGCCGTCACGAATTGGCTGATGAACTTACGATCTCTTAACTTTTTTTGAATGTATGGGCCCTGAACTGTAACCACTGGGCCACCCTGCTAGTGAAACTGGAAGCACCTACTCTTTCCTGGTACAGGTTACAGAAGATTTAGGTTATATTGACACCATATTATGAACAGAATTTTTAAGTTAGTTGATTCGACATCAAACTAAGAAATTTAGAATTAGCCAGTAATAGATTGATGTGCTTGGTTAATGCTAAGTTTTCCTCATATAAATAGGAGCGGCGGTCTATGAGTACCGGTATGAGATGAAATTAATAAAATATTTTATTAAGAAGACGACGGCGACAAGATAATTAGTTCTTAAAAAAACAGAATTAAAATAAAAATAGAAATAATTATTTAGGCAATTTCAGGAGCCTGATGGCAGTAGCTCTGTTTGGAGATAACTTGATCAACACGAAAATAGGCAAAATGTTGCGCAACTTCCTACGCGAAGTTGCTAAATCATTGTTAAAATAAACAATTTCAGCAAATGAACTAAAGTTTGCAACAGAGCATAGTGAAGGTTTGCATAATCATGCAGACTTTTAGATTGTTAAGATATGCATGATCGTGAAGAATTCATGACCTTTTTAATTATTGATCATGCGTTAACAATGAATACCATACAATAATTTGACTTTACAAAAAAAAAATAACCAAAAGAGGGAATTTCAAAAATATTCTTGTAAATGAATCAAAGTGTATTAATGGATAAAATAAAGGACAAACTGCGTTCATCAAATAGTATAGGAGACAGCAAAAAACACATCCAAAACTGAAATAAAGCTATTATGAGAATTGTCCGTTTGATCCAGCATTCAATTATAAACGCCCATTAACAAGTCCAGGGTTTTGGTAAACGCATAATTTCGAATTTTGTAATGAAATGACATGCTAAAAATTATCTTAATAAGATGACGAACCATTCAAACCCAACTCTACCATAAAATTCGACTTCACTCCCTTAACCAAACCTTTTATCACACCTTTTAACATAAA